TTTTAACCATCATCCTGATGGCTTTATTGTTTCGTCATTTTCACAACAATTTTGCAAGGTGGGATATTAATATTCAGACTTCATTAAAAGATAATGGGTTAGAGCCAAATATGTCAATCTGACCAAAATATTTCACAAAGAGATAATTATATACATGACACTTCATTGATTCCAGCTCTTTGTCATACTCTGGCATGACTGAAAACCAGAACTCAATTTGGAGGTGTAGATAATGGCAGATGGCAATTAGAAGGAAAGGGAAATTCACTCCTACCAAGAAGCCGAGATAACCACAGGTGGGTGGACTGGGCTAAGGTAAGTCTGTCATTAATCTTGGCAGGCTTCCTGCTTGTATCCCTTTTATTCTCTGGCTGCCATGTACTTCTATAGATAAAAGATTGCACAGAATCCATAGCAGCAATTTATATTGGATTGGCTCATTCTCCAGGGAGAAGAAACCAATTAAGAGTACAATATATTTCTTCTAACAGAAGTCCTAATGAATGTCTGATTAGAAGTCTGTAGCTGTTGGCAATGCTAAAACAGCAGAGCTCTCAGCTGTATTAGATGTGAACACTAACAGATTTATGGTGACAATCCCATATATACACATGTCACCATGTGTATCTGTGAGGGAAGTTTAATTTAATTCAATGGAGCTTACTTTTGGATAAACACACGCAGCAGTGGAGGAAATGTACTGCCCTTTGGAAGTTGGACAGCCAGTATAGCCAGGTGTGAGGGATGTTAGCAGTTGTAAACCAATAAAATCTGGAGGGCCACTTTTGGCCTACTCCTGACATACAGGACTGAACTGTAATATTGAGTAACAACATTACCCACACTCATCCACTTTTTAATTATGCATTTTCATAGCACATTATTATTATTATTATTATTAGGTTTAAGCAGTATTTTTAAATATTTGATGGGCAACATTCTATTGCCTTACTTTGTGCTGACATAAACCAGATTGGGCAGTGTAAACATTCAAATATGAAGATATGAAGCTTTTAATTAGTATAATCTTCTCTTATAGGTTCTGAGGCTCCCTAAGGCCCGCTTTTGCCCTGAGAAAGCCTTTGCGAGTCTTGGGACAAGTCCAGTTGGTTGAAAAATCCAAAATCACTGCCAAATCATTGCTAGCAGGTGACCCAGCAGCCATTTTTTGTGATTAATGGGTCTCCCCACCCTACAGTCCAACACTCCCAAAGGCTTCCCCAGGACAAGAGTCCTAGAGATCCTCGGAACTTAAAAGTGGGGGAATGGAGTGGTAGAATAGACCAGATGGGTGGGATATAAATCAAATCAAATCAAATCAAATCAATCAATCAATCAATCAATCAATAGTACATTTAAATAATAAATGTATTACTTGATAGAAGCCCATATGGCAAGTATGTATAAGTATTAGTAAGTTGTTATATGTGCATGTACTTAACTGTTTGTTTATGAGGGCAAACTGCTGGGTTTCCCCTCATAAAACAAACTTATTAAGGGGGGAGGTATGTAGCGAACACCCTGTCTTCCTATATATATTACAATATATATACAGTATTACAACTTGTAATCAATAAACCTGTGTCTGTTTAAAAGTTCAGTACTGAATGGACCTTAGTCTTTCATAGGAAATATAGGTTGATAGAGATCAACTGGTGGCAGCGTGTTAAAGGGCGTGTTGAGATACCTTCATGAGCTCTGTGTTTGGTGAAACTAACAGGGGCCACGGAGTAAAGGCCACAGTTGGATTTACAAATCATTGCCACTATTCAGTGCTTTCCCTTACAGCTTCTGGCAACTTTCAGTAAGATATACCAAACCTATTAGCTCATATTCATGCTCTAGTGATATATGTAGGAACAGGCTATAGTATATATACAAACTAGTAATGCAAGGCACATATATGTAGGGGTTGTATACTAGCAAGCCAGGAGAGTAAATTTCAGAGAATCTATTCATTGCAATTCACAGGAACATTGGCTTGCCCATTTTGTGACCTGCCAGCTCTATGGCATGGACTCTTTTATAGCTTACTTTTTAATATATCCAGGAAGAGAGCAAAAACAGAAATTTCACTGAAGCCTTGCTGGGCTACCACACATGGTTGGCAGGCTGCATTTTTTAAAATGTGGTAGCTACATAAGTTGTGTGAGTTCAGCAAATTCAGACAACTGGCTGCGTTGCTCACCACACCATGGAGACCTTTCCATCTGTCAAAAGGTGGAATTGCACAGGCTGTGGTTACTATTTTTCCTAATTGGACATATTCCTTAACACAGAGAAAGAGGAAGCAAAGCTTTCCATAGTATTAGAAGTAAAGGTGTGGTGGCAGGTTAAGACATTTCAGCAGCTGCTGCATACTAGATTTCCATGAAGTCTACTACAACATGATCAGCGCCACACCTTCAAGAGCAGAGGAAACACCATTCACTGTGGCAGCAACCACTCTCTCATACCCATATGAAGATGATGGGGGAACAGATCTTGCTAGCCAGAGCAAGTCTTAGTTTACAATGTAAACTTTGTAATTTCTGTATGACTACATTCTTTCTTTTCCCTAATGATCTTAAAAAGATGCACAAGGGAAGACATGTTGGCATTAAACATGCATTCAAGCCTCCTCTGAGGCCCTGAATTGTTTCTTTGACATTGTTTTTCCATCAGCTCCTAAAATAATCTCCTTTCTAAGAGGTGATGTATCCAGAAATCAAACATGACAGCAAGATACTGTGTAGATATATGGAATTTAATAATGGTAATTAAAGTAGAAGGAAGGAAATAATAACTAGAACTATAAAAAGAGGATCACCCAGTTTTACCTCTGGTATGTGAACAACCCAGGAAGCTTTGACTGTTGCATGATACACAAAATAAAAGAACTAGGGATGCTGAGCATACCTACAAAGCAGATGGGGACTGAGTTTGGTATTGTTCCGTGGGTGCGAACATAGAGGAGAATTGGGAACACCATGAGACATAAACAGGCTTGCATTTCGACATGAGCTGGGGGGGAACTGCTCTGGGACTATTCAAGGTGTTCTTGCTTTTGGGGAACCTATGCTTTATCTCTGGTACATAAAATGTAACTTTCACTTTGAGACACTGTAGTCAGGAGCTATTTCATTTATTCAGAATATTTGTATGTTGCCTTTCTACTTTAAATCCAAGCCACTCAGCTAGCATAATAAAAATTTTAATTTATGATTTAGAAAGGTAACCAGAGTGATATGTAGGATAGAGTAAAATTAAGTGGGGGGGGGAGGTGGCACTGGTAGTCAGTCACTAAGGGAAAGCTGGCCTTGGCAGAGAACAGCAGAGATGGGGCCAGCCTGGCCTCCTGTGAGAAGGAGTTCCACAGTCTGGGAACAGCAACAGAGAACATCTCTTCACATCAGATGCAGAACTAAGAGAAAGGCCTCTCCTGATGATCTTAACATCCGAGCCAGCTCATAATGGGAGATACAGTCTTTGAGATGGCTTGGACACAGGCCATTTACGGCTTTATCGTTCAAAACCAGCACTTTGAATTGTGCCCTGAAAGGGATTGGCAACCAGGGGAGCTGCTATAACAGGGGCAGGGGATATGGGATCCCTGTAACCAGTCAGCACTCTGGCTGATGCATTTTGGACCTGCTGAGGTTTCCTGACACTTTCCATTGGCAGCCCCGCACAGAGTGCATTACATTCAGTAATCCGTCTGGGAAGTAACCAGAGCATCTATGACAGAGGCTAGATCAGATCTCTCAAGAAATGGCACATTAGTTGGAATTGTGCAAAGGCACTCCTGGCCACCACCGAGACCTGGGCATCCAGGATCAGGGATGCATCCAGGAGCACCTCCAAGCTGCACACCTGTGTTTTTAGAGGGAGTGTAACCCAATCCAGTACTGACTGCATCCCTATGTCTTGATCTGCCTTTCAACAGACCAGAAGCACTGTTGTCTTGTCTGGATTAAGTTTCATTTTATTCACTCGCATCCACTACATTACTGATACCAAACAGTGATTTAGAGCCACAACAGCTTCCTCAGATTTAGGTAGAAAGGAGAGGTAGGGTTGGGTGTCATCTGCATACAGGTGACACGGAACCCAAAAACTCCAGATAATCTCTCCAAGTGGTTTCATGCAGATAACACAGGAGATAAAACATAACACTGAGGGACCCCACAGGTCCCCTGGCATCACCTGGACTGGAGACATTGTAAAACAATGCCCCTGCGCTATACTAAACAACTGATTATCTTTATAAAATAGAAGTCTGAGATTTTGGTCTTTTCTCACAGGGCTAATTACTGTAACCCTCAATCATGTTATTTGCCCCTTTTTTGCATCTCTTTCAGAGCAAGTTTTTTTTTAATCTTTATTTTTTGAGATGGCATAGCCAAAACTGATCAGAGTATTCCAAACACAGCCATGCGATACATTTTGTTTTCTTTCTTTCAAAAGAGGAAGACTGATATACCTTGAAAAAGAACCTGGCTTGCAACATTCAGCAACTGAATTTTTTCCACAGCGCAGAGCAAACATTCCCACCTGCGAATCTCAGCAAAGCAAGCTGAGCGACCCTGGTTAAGTAGCTAAAAACTTGGCAAGCCTGACGTGAAGAAGTTTTTTTAAATCTAGGCTACTGTGTTGGTGTTCACTAGCGCCCTCTTTTGGTTGTGATCTAAGCTGCTGAACTGCAATGCAAACTTTGGAAAACCAGGGGAAAAAATAGTTCCCTTGGGTCGAACTAGCAGTTTCCTCTTAAATCCCCCATAGCACCCCCTCCGAATGGAACGCAGTTACAGTAATTGTGGCAACAGCTTGACTTGCACAAGGATTTCCAAACACACACAAACGCGTTCTTAATTCTCCCCTCCGTCTCTCAGCATAATGGAGTAGCGAATGCAGGAAGCGAGACCTGGAAGCGGAGGAAGGAAAGAAATACAGATCTGTCTGCACAGGCCGGCAGCTTAAAGGGCCCTAGTCTTCACAAAAAAAAAAAAAAAAAAAAAAAAAGCGTGTTCAGGGCTCCGATCCTCTGCGTACTTACTTCGCCCACTGAATTCGGTACGAATCACTTTGGGCTAAACACGGCTAGGCGCGGATTGTGCTGGACCAGACATTTACAGCTGGCAACGCCGAAAGGAGGAAGACAGATGGAGCGACGGATAGCAAAGGCTTAAGTCTTCCTCTCCACAGATACGAGGAGTTGCTAGATCATCTTCACCGCTTCTTGCAGATGCAAATCGTGTCTCCGGCCAGCAGGAGGAAGAGGAAGTGAGAGCAGCGGCAGCCACAGCGGCGGCAGCCTCGGGGAGCCTCTGTTCGTGTGTGTTCGGGTCCGAGGATGGGATAGCGAGAGCGACCGAAAGAGAGCCGCCGTCCAAAACAAGCCGCGGAAAAGAGTCGGACTTCCACGGTGGTGGAGGTGGCGCCGCTCCTGGCCTCTGCGACACGGTAAGCAACTTCATTCCCTCTTCCTCTCCCCCCCATCCCCCGCCTGCTGCACTTTGTGGAACTGATTCGCACGGGCAGAGGCTCATATCTGCTTTTTGACAAAAAGGTACAGTACTTTAGTTTCCGATTAGGGGGCGGCGGCATCTGCGAAATGCATGCGTTGATCTCAGGGGTAGGAGGAGAGAGAGAGAGGTCGTGGGTTGCACCAGAGGGATGGTGGTGGAGGGGGGACAGGCACACTCCAATCCCATCCTGTCTTACTGAGGAGCAAGTCTCGCTGAGTTTGGCGGGGCTGGCTCGGCAACGAGGGGGAAATCGCATTCCCCCCAGGGCGGGCGATGCTTCTGTGCGGATGGTGTTGTAACGGGAACGACGCCACCTGCGCTGGAAGGGCTCTCGCGGCGAAGGAAAACGCGTGTGGGGAATGCGGTGCAAGACGACGGCAGATGGGCGCCCCTGGGAACGAGATGGGGGGGTGGCGGCGGCGGCGGCGGCGGCGCCTGCTGGGACACGAGCGGCGGCGGCGAGGTGGATGGCAGCACCGAGGGCGCGACCGAGAACGTCAGAAGGGCACTACGCCGAATGTGTTCCCGTGTGGCCGAGCAGACGAGACTGCTACACGGGGGCTTGAGGACTGCGGGAGAGGGACGGAGGGAATTGCCTCTTCTCCGTGATGGTTTCGTGCAGGTGAACCGCTTTCCCTCTCAAGTGCCCCCCTCCCGCAACCGCCTTGGGCGTGAGGAAGGTGCGTGTGTTTCGGGGACAGGGCGGTTCTCGGGTGGCTCGAGGAGCGCTCTTTTCTCAGTCTGCGAGCTGGAGGGCTCCGTAGCAAAAATACAAATTGAAACAGCGGAGCGGCGGGAGGAAGAAAGTGGCTTCCTCTTCGATGCTAAGTGACTGGGCAGAACCCGTTAACTAACCGCCCTGGGCTCAGGAGGTAATTAGGTGCGCGCGCGCGCATATCTGGAGGGGGGGGTGTTAGAAAGCAGGAAATTGCTGCAGCTTCCCTTTGAGGCAGAGGAAAGCCGGTCCCCTCGCGCTCCTCGAGGGTGGCGGAGGCTCGCGAGCCGCTGCCCTAGTTTGAGAGCCAGCGCTCCAGGGAGGCCAAGCGACGGCAGCGAGGCGACACGCGCGCTTCTGCCGGGCTTCCCGCCTTCTTTTTGCCGCCCCACGCAGCGGCCTCTGGCCCCAGCTGTTGCTGCGAGCCGGTCTCTCTCTCTCTCTGTCAGAGATCGAGAGAAGGGAGCGTGACTTCTCTCTCGGGCCACCCGCCACAGGTTCCTCCTTTTGTCCCTGAGCACCTGACTCTTGGCACGTGTGGAACCGAACCCTTCCAACTCCACAGAACACAGTAAATGGGCTTGGCAGCAGGTAACGTTGCCAGAATAAGAGGAACGGGAAAAAACAGCGGTGTGAACTGTCGAAGAATTGGAAAATACCCTTTTCTTTTCTATTTCTCCATTTTATATAAATGGAGGATAATAACACCTGAGTCGAAACAGCTTAGTAGCACAGGGTTTGGAGTATAGGTGGCCCATTTTTCCACCCCTTAATTTGGCCCTTGAGGTGGGCTATTTCTGTGTGTCTAAAGGCCAACTCTGTGTAGAATAATATACAAAGGTGCAGGATGGAGCCCTATACAATTCTTATGTGGAGCTAAGCACCCTAGAATTTAATGAAACTTTTAAGTTGCCATTATAGGATTGCACTGTCTCACACACTCTATTCACTGTATATTTCGCAACCCCCATTGTCCTATACAGACCAAGGACCTCCTGTTCCCTTAAAATACTTCACTTTTTCTCCATTGCTGTCTTTTTTGCTTGGAACTGCCTTGAGAACACCTATGTGATATTACTTCTTTTATTTTATTCAGAGCCTTTCTCAACACCAATCCGGAAGCCTTCCTCACAGTTGCCTATCTCCTACCCATTTCCCTCTGTTGTTGCCCCAGATTTTTATTTTAAGTAACCTAGTGTGCTGATCTGTTTATTGGCAAACATAAAAGTACTTTAATAATTGCAGTTAAACAGACAATAATAGCTAGTTTTTACGAGTCAGAACACTGTGCTGTATCCATCTGTAGCTGAATATGTGACATAATGGAACGTTACTTTATTAACCTCACTATGTATGTGTCAAGCAAGGTTAAAGGGAGAAAGGAAGCACAGTTTTGCTTTTGGATCTTGGAGCAAAACCTAAGAGTCAGGGTTCTAATTCAAAATAACTGTTAACATCCACTACTACTTATTCTGAAGAATTTTAATTGTGGTGGTAGTTGCTTTCATGTTTTATATTTCGGCTTTCTGTTTAGATGAAGATCATAGATGTGCACTTGAAAAACATTCTAGTTGTTGCAGAGTTATGTACATATTTTCCAGCTCCCCCCTTTTTGGCAGGGGATAAAGATGGCTTATCTGTTCTCTTGAAATCAATGCTTTTTGGTGCCCAGTATATGAACTAGCCTGTAGCTCCCCCTTTTTTGGCAGGGGGTAAAGATGGGCTTATCTGTTCTCTTGAAATCAATGCCCGTTAGGCTTCTTGGTGCCCAGTATATGAACTAGCCTGTATTGCATTTGTGTGTACATACCCTTTCCTTCCTTTACTCTTGTTGTTCTTTTCTTTCTCTTAGTTTGTTTTTACAGTGATAGAAACATGCATACATGAAGATACATATATTTATGAACTTTAAATGAAAACAATTCCTGTATTTGTCAATACTGTTCACCCAATCTTCTGTAAGTTTCTGTACTAACTTAATTTTTTTCCTCAGTCATAATTTCAGTGACCAGCTAAGGTTTCAAAATATTTAAGTTGTCATAACCAGCTCATTGAAAAGTGTTTGAACTGTGATTACTTATGTTCAAAATGGAAAATGACCTGTTCTGCTCTAGTCTAAGCATAACTTATAGACAGATTTACATATTATTTAATGTTAAATGCTATTAGGCAGCAATATGTACATTAGTGAAAATTTAGAATAGTGTCAAGTAAGCATGTAGTTGGAAGTTTTTCATTAATCTTCGAAGCTTTGTCACTTTAGAAGCTGTAATTTTTTGCCCAATGTCATCTGTATGTGTGCTAATAGTTTATTTTTCCTTAATGTATTAAGTCTGATTTTATGTTGCTGCTAATTGTTTTTTTAATAAAAAGTAATTAGGACACCAAGATCTTTGAACTCTCTCTGAGGAGTGAAAATGCAAGCTATCCAGTGACACAGCACTCTTAAACAGAATGAAGAGTGGTGTTAATAACATGCATCAGAAAAATCACATGTCTATCTCTTGTCACAAATGTCTGTGGTTCAGCAGTTATTTCTGATTGCATATGTGTAATGTTCCACCCAAATTAAACATCGTGGCCTGCTCTATATTATTACTGTCATGCATGGCTGCAATATGCAAGCTCTTGTACTCCAAGGATCTTCTTTTAAGTCAATAAATTTATTTGGAGCAAGAAGCACTGTAAGCTTTGATGCTCACATACCTTCTAGTGATGCATATACAGTAATATGCATGCCATGTATTAAAGAAAGCATTTTGCTTTACCTTGAATTGTTGGTCTGCTATTTATTTGCCTGTCAGGATATGGAAACAGCTAGCTCGTTGGTTTCTAGCTGAAACAATAGTGCATGTAGCAGCACTTCCTCACATTGCTGTCTTTTTGTGGCAAACTACAGAGCGAATGCATGCTTGTATGGTGCTGCTCCACCCTTCCTTCCTCCCTTTGTTTGTTGAAATCCAGTGGATTGTGAAGTTTGAGTTTGTGTGAGGTTTTTCTTCTGTGTGGCTTAAGCTCTTGAGAATTGTTTAGGATGTGATCTCATGCTTTCCATATTCTCAAATGTGATACAGCCAACCTTATATTTTAAAGTCTTTTCATGAACTGTGAGATACTGATTAACATTGTCTACTGGGGATGCTGGGTCTTCATTTGAAGAAATGAAGGTATGTTGCATTGCTGTGCAGCTTTGAAAATCAGGATGATCTTTTTGTTCTGAGTTCCTTTGATGTTACTGAATAAAGAAACTACTAAAATAATGGAACATCTGGAAATCCTGCTGCCTTCTAGCCTTAGATAATTAAGACCATTCCACCGAGCCCTCCCAAAATATCCCTTCACTAATAGGCTATACATGTTGCCATTCCTTTGATAAGTCCTTTAGAGCTGGCTGCTCACTCCTTATTCAACCCAGTTTCACATTCTGTAAAAAAGACACATTTTAAGATATTTTTATTTAGATATGTAACCTATTTGAAAGAGCCCAGGGTAAAAAAAACACACCCCAAAACCCCACAACACTCACAATTGAATAAAGCCAAATGGATGAATCTTGTTCCCCAACATACTTCCAGTGTATAAATGTCATTATATATGAATGAAGATATTGAACATCTGAGAGAGATTAACTAGGCTGATCGTACTGCATTTCATTAGTGTTTGCCGTTTTGTGGCACTTTTGTGGATTAGAACCTATGATGCTGCCTTAAACCAAGCCAGAATGTTGGTCCAGCTAGTCTGCTGTCATTTGTGTTGGTGAATGTGCAGCCCTCCAGGTATTTGTTGTACTGTTGTACCCGTTGTCCCTAGCCAGTACAGACAATGTGAGAGGTGACAGGAGTTGGAGTTCAGCACCTAGAGGTCCATATGGTTTCAGTCATTGAGTTCCCAGTAGTCTTCACCCTTTTTAGAACTGAGCTCCATTTTTAGCTTAGGCATGTAGTAAGGGAACTCTGGGAAAGGAGGATTCCCAAGTGTGCAGAGCTTTGTAAGAACAGTCAGCCACCCATTTGTTGCTGGCAAATACATGTACAGGGTTAGACTGAAAAAAAAGAGGGTTGGGGCAACATTCTGGTGACTGACCTTGTCGCTAATTTAAAGCCCCTACCTGATCTATCCATAAATGTCTGCTTTCTTTGATTATTGAATCCTTTACCTGCTATATTTGAAGAGACCCTTGTCCAAGAGGCCGAGTCAAAGAGGCAGTCCCGAAAGCAGCA